TATCTGTTTGTGTGTGTGTTGCTACACTTGGATGATATACTAACTGCAACCAAGAATATGGTTGGGATTGATTACTTAAAGACGCTTCTGAAGAATGAGTTTGAGATAAAAGATTTAGGAGATGCAAAGAAGATATTGGAGATGGAGTTTCGAAGGGATAAAAAGGCAGGGCAGTTACATATTTCTCAACAAAAATACATTGAGAAAATTTTGCACTCATTATACTTTGATAAGTGCAAATAAGTTGGAACTTTTTTGGCTGTACAATTTAAACTTGATCGAAGTACTAACTGCTGATGAGGAAATAAATTACATGAACATGGTTCCATATTCGAGTGTTATTAGAAGTATCGTGAATACAATGGTATGTACCAAACTTGATTTGGTTTATGTAGTTAATGTAGCAAATAGGTTTATGAGTAATCCCAAAAAAAGCTTATTGGGAAATTGTCAAGTGGATCTTGCGATACTTAAAGGGAACACATGATGTTTGTCTAGTGTATGATACTAACACACATAATGAATTAGTTGGATATGCAGACTCAGACCGAGGGTGATATATTGAAAAGAGTATCCCTTATGTGTTATATCTTCACTTTATTTGAATGTGCTATTAGTTGGAAGTCAACGTTACAAAATATTGTTACATTGTCTACAGCTGAAACTGCATAAATGTCAATGATTGAAGGTATAAAGGAGTGTATCTCACATCGACACACCAGGGTCCTTTATATCTCTATATATATTGGAGATCCACTCTCTCCATAAATATCTTACACCAATTTCTATCTTCTCTCATAGCTGCCCTTCCTCTCTTTGTCCCTTGCCATTATTTTCTTTTGGAGATGGTGCAAATTAAAGTATTATATATAGTACATTTGACACTTGGATATTTCTCTTTGAAATATAAAAGGTAGGTATAAAATTAGTTTGATAGATTAAATGAAAAATGGAATAGAAAGTAGCGTACAACGTAATGAAAAAAAAGGTATAACAATTAACACACAACCTTATAAACAGGATTATTTGTTTATTTATTTTTCTTTTACAAATTAAAGGTTTGTTTATAATAAAAATTAAAAATTACTATTGTTCAAATGTCATGTACTCTTTTTCTTGGGTCATTATCCTGACCAAAATAAATATGACAATTTGCATATTTTTGACTTTTCTAAATTCCAAGATCCTAGCAATTATTAGTCCATGATTCGTTGTTAATTTGAGACAATTTTCGACCAAACATTATATTCGTTCAATTTTGCTTAGCTCGTAAGTAGACCCTTCTCTATCATTCTCAAGGATATGAAAGTAGAAATTGCTTTGATCCAAAAGAAAGAAGAAAGTCCACGTTGTTTAGCTTCATAACATGTTGAATTCATAATTATATAGCATTCGTTTAATAACCATTTGAAATTAGTATGTTACATTTCAAGACAACTTATTTACCAATTAATTAAAAAAATCGGCATACACATGAAAAAATATATAAGAGTATGATTATGTTGAACGAAAAAAAAAACTATTTTTTAAATTATTAAGATATTAAAATAATTCAGCAATCCTGGTTCAGTTTTATCTATTTAATTTTATACCTAATTGCCAATTTATACATTTTTTTTTTTTTTTACAAAAACTATAAATTAAGTATCTATTTTGATTTTATATTTGTGCAATTATCCGTGGAAACTAAAAGGGAATAAATATGAAATTATTCCACCGTAAATCCGACAAGAAATGAAAATATAACTAAAATTTTAAAAAGGGGAAAACAAAACAGAATTCACATAGAATTCCTTCCAAATTCCAAATTTCCAATGGCATCTCTTGGATTTAGCCCTTTCTCAACTTGTACAGAACTATCTCTGCCGAACGTCAGATTCTTCCGGTGCCGGAAGCCTCTGTTTGTCAAATGCTCTACCGGAGACATTTCTTCGCCGTCGTTAGCCGATGGCTCTGACTTCGATGCTAAAGTTTTCCGGCATAATTTGACTAGAAGCGACAACTACAACCGGAAAGGGTTCGGGCATAAAAAGGAGACTCTTGAGCTCATGAATCAAGAGTATACAAGTAAGAATTGGTGTATCTGTTCGAATTTTTTTGAATTTTTCCTGAATTATACATGAATTGAATTATGAGAGTTTGTTAGATATGACTGATTCATGTGAATTCAATCAATTAGTAACGTTGAAATTTATTTGTATGATCGTTTCACTTTTCTGCTATCGCTTACAACTTGAAATCAGTAAAACAAGGAATTTATGTTAAAAACCTGTTTGTTACAAGGTGTAGAGATCTTACCACTTGATTTAATTGCGATTTTAGTCGTTATATAGTTCAAATTATAATAGATATGATGATTAATCTACTGCAAGGTGACATCATAAAGACGCTGAAGGAGAACAATTTTGTATACACATGGGGAAATGTTACTGTGAAGCTTGCAGAATCTTATGGCTTTTGCTGGGGTGTTGAGCGTGCAGTTCAGATAGCTTATGAAGCAAGAAAACAGTTCCCTGATGAGAAGATTTGGATCACAAACGAAATTATCCACAATCCTACTGTTAATAAGGTACTATCATGATTTACTTTGCTTAGTTTTCTAGTAATCAATTGTATCCTATCACTGTTTTAATGTATGTTGTGTTATGCTTTCCGACTTTCAGTTGATCTATGCATAATGGATTTGATAAATTTGTATTTTGATCTAATGTGTCAAATTGAGAATAAAATTGACTTCTGTTTCTGTCATCTTAGAGGCTAGAGGAGATGGAGGTTAAAGACATTCCCATTAAAGATGGAGAGAAACAGTTTGATGTGATTAATAAGGGAGATGTTGTGGTTTTGCCTGCTTTCGGGGCTGCAGTCAATGAGATGTTGACTTTGAGTAATAAACAAGTTCAAATAGTAGATACAACATGTCCATGGGTATCTAAGGTATTTCTTTTCTCTTTATTATTTGTTTACTTCACCTTATGTGATATTTTTCATATTTTCTTTTTGGGGTTACAAGGTATGGAATAGTGTTGAAAAGCACAAGAAAGGGGATTATACTTCTATAATTCATGGGAAATATTCTCATGAAGAGACTGTAGCAACAGCATCTTTTGCAGGAAAGTATGTCATTGTGAAGAATATGGATGAGGTATGTTTAATAATTTTCTTTTTTTTTATTTAAGGAAACCATCTTTAATTTAATATGTATTAAACATTAATGATTAATGATTAATCCATTGTTTTAGGCAAAATATGTGTGTGATTACATTCTTGGTGGTGAACTTAATGGATCTAGCTCAACCAAAGAAGCTTTTCTTGAGGTATAATAAACAAACGAAATGAAAGTACATTGCTATTTCTTGCAATTAACCCTATTATTATATAATTTCAGAAATTCAAATATGCAATTTCTAAGGATTTTAATCCAGATATGGATCTTGTGAAAGCTGGTGTAGCAAACCAAACTACAATGCTCAAAGGAGAAACCGAGGAGATTGGGAAATTAGTAGAGACTACAATGATGCGTAAATTTGGAGTAGAAAATGTCAACAAACACTTCATAAGTTTCAACACTATTTGTGATGCTACTCAAGTAAGTTCTTATGTTTCCACAAAAAAAAAATATCCTTCACAGTACACAGTAAACAGTACACAGTATTTAAAATGCTATCGACTTTTGTAGGAGAGACAAGATGCAATGTATAAATTAGTGGATGAAAAGTTGGATGTTATGTTGGTAGTTGGTGGATGGAATTCAAGCAACACTTCACACCTACAAGAGATTGCAGAGGATCGTGGCATTCCATCTTATTGGGTCGATAGTGAACAAAGAGTGGGACCCGGAAACAACATAACTTATAAATTAATGGTAAAGACTTATAACTTTTATAAATTAAGGGTAAATTACAATTTACAACTTTAGTCCCCGAGTTTACCATATTTTTACGGTATTGGTCCCTAAAAGAATCCGTTTGCAATTTTTGTCCTTCTTTTGATGTTTCATAATGATTTTTGTCCGTGGATCGTTAAATCTAACTACCTAGTTTTTAATTTTCTAATATGACCATTTTGCCCTTGGAAACATCCATTAACAAAATATTTAAATCAATCACTATGTGGTATCAGTTTTGAACTAAGGGCAAAATGGTCATTTTGAAAAAAATTTAACGATCCAGGGACCGAAATTGTTATGAAACATGAAAAATAACGACCAAAATTGCATAAAGATTTCTTTAGGGACCAAAATCGAAAAAATGTGTGAAACTCAGGGACCAAAATCGTAATTTAATTTATGGTGTTAGAAATTTTTATATGTATTTGGTTCAATTACATTTTTAACACAGCATGGTGAGTTGGTTGAGAAGGAAAATTGGCTACCAAAAGGGCATGTAACAATTGGTGTCACGTCTGGTGCATCTACTCCTGATAAGGTAACTCTTAAGTTTTGTATTTTTTGTCAATTTGTCTTATAATATAAGGAAATTTTATATAAATTGTTATATTTTAATTCGATTAAATTGGATATATACTTAGGTTGTTGAAGATGTTCTAATGAGGGTCTTTGAGATAAAACGTGAAGAATCACTACAAGTGGCATAGATTAGGGTTTGTTGTTTTTAACAAGAGAAAGAATTGAAGAGTTAAATATTAACATTCGGTCATTTATTGTATCAATGTGTACCTCTATACAATTACATAACGTCTTATTTGTATCATAATATCCTGTTGTAGTAACTAGTAAAATCATGTTAAACAAAAGAGCCGATGATATTTAAACAAATGGAAAAAATATATATATACAACCGAACAAAACACACAAACATTGAGATCTGATGCATGTCCATAAAAGAAGAGGAACATATCTTTATTCGAAAGGGATACCAAACAGCTATTACATATGTCGATAAACTACGGTGTTCAAAACCAGATTTTTTTTTTTTTGAAGGGATGCATTAAAAAAACACTATCAAAATGCTAGAAAAATAGTAGATGCATTACAAATTACAAGCAAAAAACAGGGAATTACTCCCAACAAACCAACAAATAATCTTAAAGGAAGATCTATTCTTGCTCCAATTAAATGCAACAACTTGAATTTCATCCGCCATTTTAAAGAAGGGCACATTTTCCTATTGAACACCAAAACTTTCCGGGCTTTTCAAATGCACCAAATCACCAAAAAGATTAAGAGCAATATGAGAATCCTTCTATTCTTACCATGAATCGAGACATTTAAAGTAGCAATGAGCTACTTTTTACTGCAAGGAAACGAAGACAGGGTGTTGCTCCAAGCAATGAACCAAAGCTAAATATTGACCAAGAAATCACACTTGAAAAAAAGATGATCCACAGTCTCGACATGTCTCCTTTCCATAGCCAGGTATTTGAAGCTTTGGAGAGATAAAGGTTAGCGACAGCCAACCTTCCAGCTCAACAATTTCTATACCCTTTCTCGGAATTATCTTCCATTGCCCCTAAAAAACAACCACATGATTATTGTTTACCATCTCGAAAACCTTACAATTCTTACTTCAAGCATGTATAATTTAGGAAGGACTACTTTAAAGGAAGAAAGCCACACCACTTGTCTTTCCAAAAATGAGTATGATTTCCATCTCCCATATTTCTTAAAAAATATCATCAAGAGGCAAATCCCATTCATCAAGATCCTCCCTTATTTGATAAATATGGAGCCAAGTACCCATGATGCTACATTTTAGAAAAAGGCTTTCCATCAATACAATTTGTTTTGTGCAAGTCTTTAATACAAGAACACCAAAATGAATTCACCTCAACCTTTAATTTCCACCACCATTTAGTAAGAAGGGCACTGTTTAAAGATTGAAGAAAACCCACACCAAGACCACCTTTTGCTTTGGTTTTACCATATCCCATGTTACCCGGTGAATCTTTCTTTTATTATCAATACCTACCCAAATGAACTTTCTCTTAATACCTTCCCAAAGAAACTTTCTCTTAATACTGTTAGGAAATCAGACGACATTTCTCAAGACCCACAAAAAATCTGATGTCACTTGCCAAGTTCTGATGACCATTGTTAGGAAGTAATGTGGATAACAAGCAAAACCAAAAGCACACAAAGACACAATATTTATGTGGTTCGGTCAAGGTGATCTACGTCCACGGGTAGGAGGGGAGTATTCTTAATTGACAAAGTTTACAAACAGAGATTACAAGTACAAGCAAAAGAGATTCGACTTACTCACTAAGGATACAAAAGACACACAAATAACTTAGCAGGCATCCATTATATAGTGAAGGGATCAGACCTAAAACCCTAATGGGTGAAGCCTATTGGCCTATAGGCCCATGAATGGTGGCAACCAATCATAATCTGCCATGCAGTAGCTTCTAGAACATTCATCCTTGATATGCATTGCAAGAGCATCAACAACACACATGATGGAGCATCATTATCCATAGTGACACGTCATGATGCAAGAGTGGCGCATCAAGATCACCATGACACATCAACCATCATGGTGGCACATCATGCAATAATCCTTGAGCATAACTTTTGAGCATCATTGAACAATCTTGAGCATCATAGTGAACAACACAACATAAGTGGCACATCAAGGGATACAATGTCACATCAAAGAACATTGTGGCTCACCTTGCACCAAGATGATGTTGAATTAGTGTCTAAGCTCGTAACTATATTTGGTATGTATTTGACCCGGTTGTGCATGGTCCTTTTGGGTTGCCTTCACCAAAGCAACATGATAGGATGATTTATGAATAAAGAGGTTATTATGATTTATTAATATGTTATATGAATAATATATTAATGGAGAAATCATATAATTAAATTAATATTAGACAACAATTAATTAAGAAATTAATTCTGTGGCTAAAAGAAATTAATTTAATATCAGGGACTTAAACTGTCAAATGTATGATAGTTGAGTATTGGACTGAGGAGCCTCTTGGACTAGGTATGGACGAAATTAGGATGTGTCCATCCCTAATTTCGGCCCTAAGGCCCTATTCTAGAAGCTTCCTTGGATAGCTTAAGGCCTACGCTGTCCATTAGGGTTTTTGACTGAAACCCTAACAGCTCCAGTATAAATAGGACCCTAAGGTTCCAGAATTCGGTCACCCTATTCCTAAGAGCTATAGATCCGAATTCAAGAAGCCTCCAACCTCTCTCCATGATCATTCTTTTGTCATTGGTGTTTGTAAACCATTAGAGGAATGACACTTGTGACTTTAAGCTCCAAGACTTGAAGATTCAAGCCATTATCAAAAGGTAATCATCTAGATCTGCTCTTATGTGATAATTTCGAAATGCATATGCTAGATTAGGGTTCTTGAGCCTTGGATGAATTGCATGTACAATAGAGAAACCTAGATCCAAGCATTAGGGTTAGCATGAGCACATAGGATGTTCTTTTGTATAAAACTCATCAGTGATATCAGAGCCTTGATTGGTTTCAATTGTATTTGATGCTTATATGTTCGTTCATTGCTTTATATGAAAATCGTTTCCTGAAAATACCCAGCTCACGACGTGACTCTCTGAGTTCACGACGTGAGCCCAGTCTGTCAGACAGACTCGACGAGTGCAGTTGGCTACTCGACGAGTCTGTGGATCAGATGGCTCAAAACTCGGATTTTTGGCTAATTTTGTGTTTGGATAATTACCAAAATTGTTTTTGAATAATAAAATCTGATTTATATATATATACAAATTAAAAGATAATTACCATTTATTTGACTAATAAATTAATTATAAGATAATCTTTGATTATTTAATTTATTTGGTGAATCTTGTAAATAATCTTGATTAGGTCAAATTTAGATAATCATTAAATTAATTGTTTAATTTAAAATTATTTGCTATTTGATCCTTTGTGTTTTGAAAAAGTTTCAAAACTTGCCCTCAAGTTTTTGAATTAAAATTTTTTGATTAAAAGGTTTAATTTTGAAATATTTAAATTCTAAACCCTAATGATTTGAACTGTTTCAAAACTTGCCCTCAAGTTTTGGAATTTAACTTTTAATTAAAAGTTTAATTGTAAAATGGTAAATTCTAAAACCCTAATTTTTGAAAAAAGTTCAAATTGCACCCTTATGGTTTTATTAAATTAATTAAGTGTATAATTTAAAGAGAGTTAATAAATTCATAGTGATATGGTTTACATTTAATTAAATTAAAAGTGTAATTTATTAAATTAGACCACATAGTATTTTAAAAGTGTAAAATACACCCTTATATTATATATAACATTAAAAGTCTAATATTATATATGTATAACTCAAACTGCTAGTCTTACCATTAGTAGGCCTCATTCACGAAGCCTATCTATAAGGGGGTATAAGGTTATGGCCTATAAAATGGTCGTTTAATGGGTGTCCACTCTCACCCACCACTTCTTTGATTGGTGGAAGGTCGTTAGCCGAACGGGTAAGATAGGGCAAACCCTCTCCTCATTAAAAGTATAATGAATGTTAAAGTAACTAAATGTTTTACAAAAATTCCCAATCTTAGTTACTTTAGGCAAAAGTGAATTGATGTAGTTCCATGAAATTACACTTTATACCCTTGCTAAGACGTTAGTGGAGCGTGTGTGGTTAATCGGCACACTAAATGGGTTCTAAGCAAAAGTAGCAAAGGGTGACTCGATGTTTGTCATAGTTCGGTGGAGCGTGTGTGGTTAACCGGCACATCGAATAGATGACTATAACATTTGGGGCACCATGTAAGTTTGCATGGTTATTCACACCCTGTTTTGTGATCCTCGACATCCCAGTCGCAAATCGAGGGGCATATCGAGATTTAAATATGCCATTGAAAAGTTCAACGAATCTCAAAGGATCTAGGAGTTTTCAATACATTTAAAACTTAATCTTTTTTCATTTTTCACAGTGGAAAATTAGTGAATCGTCATTCACTTACCTTCAAATGTTCTGCAATTTTGGTTACGGCATCCCTCTCCCAAGTTGTAGAGTATTGTGTTGGGTCCTAGCCTTAATATCTCATTTGGGTGTTTTATTAAGGACTCAATCAATCAATCATCTAACTTGAATTTTTCTCCCGTTTTGTAAAAGTATGACAACTATGGTCTTCCCGAATCCTGTGGAACAAGCTTTCCACATGAAGATGATATTCCACGATTCGATCGAGGAACACGAGATCATGCTTCACTT